ATTTATATATATGAAAAAGTACATATTTCATATACTACATTAACACAGTTCATTGTTGTCATATTTTCCTGTGTATCAGTAAACTGCCCTACAAAATCTCCACAAAACGTTCAGTAGTTTTTTTTCCATACAATAATGTTACATGAAACAAAAAATATTTAGACTAACCATTATGAAAACAAATTAATTACTGATAAACGAAGACGGGGCGGCCCTGAAATAAACCCCCAGATCTCCACCGATACAAACACACACGCACACACAAAAATCACAAAAGGATAGCAAAACACAAAAATCTTGGATTATGAATTGAAGCATATTTTACACTGCTGCTTTTTTGTAATATCAGATAGGCAAAGCCTACAAAGTGTGACGCTCATGTACTAAAAATTACACTTGTGACCGATTTAAGCCCAGTAACTTGACTGTCTGCTTGAATCTTTAGTTAAACATGCTTGTTCTTTGCATGTGAGGTACTTCAGATAGACCGGAGAGGAAAAAGCCTTCTGTTTTTTACTGTTTTGATCAGTGTCAGAGAAGTTGGAGGAACCAGCGATGAAGCCAGCATTGCTTATTCGTTACTAAGCAGACGGGACGCAGTGATTGTTATTGGTGGGGGACGGCCAGTAGTTTCCATACGAGCTGACATGTTACAACAAATTGCATTTGTTTTACTTGGATTTAGTCAATAACTGTTGACTGACGGTGGTGGTTTTGGTTGAGAATTTGAGTTTGAGTGGCCACACTCCTCGGTTTCTCCCTCTCCTTGACGCTCTAGCCGAATATCTTTGTTTACGCACACGTGAGAAGTTTGCACGTGAGTGGCTCAAGTGCCTGGCATCTGGATCTGAACCACTTCTCCGTTCTCGGCTTGCTGGAGCTGAATGGCCTCCTTCACACCCATCTCCGCCTGCAGCGCTGGAGTCAGAGCTTCAGCCTGAGAACCAAAAACAGAGTGAATGTGTCATTTTTGCGCCATTAGAAAACCAAATGCAACTGCAAAAATACTGATTGTTTCAAACAGGCTTCCTGAACATTCCCTCCATCTGCCATCTCCATCCGTTCCACCTCAAATTCACGCCACCAGATGAAATATTAGAGTTAATTTTGACATGTCGACCTGGTCCTTGAAAACAATAAACAAACTTTGCAAGTTCACATGCAGGATAAACATGGTTTGTGCTAACTACAAAGTGTTTTGTGCAGTGAATTAAGAATTTTATTAATTGTGAGATTTACAATATGTGAAAAGTCCCAAGAAATGAGGTTGCAACTGGGAGAAAAATTTAAAAAAGAACAACATTTTTTTATGTGATTTTATTTTATTTTAGTATT